TCAACTGGGATAGACTCCAGCACCTCCTCCTCCCAGCCCTGTTCAGGATAAGCGGTGTTGAAAATGGTTGGATGGACTTGTAATCAGGTGTGTGTGTGTGTGTGTGTGTGTGTGTGTGTGTGTGTGTGTGTGTGTGTGTGTGTGTGTGTGTGTGCGTGTGTGCGTGTGTGCGTGTGTGCACGTGTGCGCGTGCGTGCGCGTGCGTGCGTGCGTACGTGTGCATGTATGTTGATTGGTTAAAAAAAGATCTGTATTTAATAATGGAGGGTCAGCTTTTCGTTTTTAGATAATCAACATTTTATACTTAAACTGCATAGCAGCAGACTGTTTTCCTCTTTAGAAACATTCGTGAGAATTTAGATAAATCTGTTCCCTTATATTTTGGTCTTTGAAACTAAGTGAAATCAGAACCAGTGTAGCGATTTTGTCATCTAAAACTCACTTGAGTAAGCTTGATTTATTAAAAAATGATCAGTAGGAACGGCCACTGTGTCAAGCTGTCAGCATCAAAGTGTGCAGAGTCATTTAGGTCTATTAAACTTGAGCGCTGCTAGCGCCGCTAGCAGCTACCGCTGAATAGGTTGTTTGTACGTGAAGTCTCTTCCGCTTTCTAATTTTTTTTTTTTTCGTTCATCATCTTGGGTGGATAGCATTGGACGGTATTTGATTGCATGATACACGGTTGATCTTAAAGTGGTGCACACTTGCTGTGTCATAACAATGCCAATAGAGAAAAAGATCAATCTTTCTTTTGGATTCCAAAGATGATTTAGAACCAAGGACAGGACACTAGACAAAATAAATCTCTAAAACACAGGAAGTGAAGTCTCTGAGTAACATCTTCTGTGTAGACCTCTATGGCCAATCTATAGTTTGGACTTGTGTATGCAGCGGTCACTTTGTAAGCACAAAATTTGTTTACCTTTGAAATCAATAAGAGATAAGAAGAAATAAGAGATTATTTTATACCGACTACAAGGAAAAAAAAAACTGTCAGCCGCTCATGATTTGGATTCATGACTACCAGTAAGATAGCTAGCTTGTACTAGCAGATGAGTCCAGTGCAGTTGCAAAGCTCCAGACTATCCTAAACGGCTGGCATTTTGCCCCTAAGATTGAACACAGTCTGACTACATTTTGCATCGAATCACAAATGCGTCACCAGTAAATTTGCCTATTTATTTATTTATTTTAAATTCTTGCTGTTTTTTTTTTTTGTTTGTTTTTTTAATGGTCCTTAACAACCCATGATGTTCATTTCATTATTCTTCAAAAAGAAAAACAATCTTTTATGCCATGGAATAAGGGACATGTTAAGTATTATACAAAGTTTTGGTATTAATATTTGCATAATTAACACTTTGCAGTACATACAAATGTGTCCCTGACAGGGTGGAACTCTCTCACCGCCCATGTCTGAACAACCAACCCATAATTAAAATTATTTAAATGCCTAAGTGACTCGCCATTACCTCTTTGCTGTTGGCACTGCATTTTTGCAGCCGCAAAAAGTGCTCCTTGTCAGTGAATCCAGCATCACAAGAACCATGGAACCCAGCATCGCCTGGAATGAGCATCGAAGCTGCACTGTTGTTTGTCACCATAGGTTTGGAGGTCTCTAGCGTGTGCTTGTACAAAACTTAACTGTCCTCTAAATGTTGCCGCTGAAGCACAAATTCTATCAAACAAGCCCATATCTTGTCTTGCTATTTATTGCATGTCACCACAGTGGATTTCTTTGCAGGTGAAATACACGTATTGCAATGTTTGTCACAATATCCTTTGTCGCTCCAAAATATTTGTCCAGCTAACGAGTCCACTATCTTGATTTTTTTTTTTTTTTTTTTTGGGTGCTTAAAGTTTAGCGTCTTGTGCCTCTCATTGGTCAAGACAGATATCGCCGTCTTCACAGCTGTGATTGGTTAGTCGGGCCGTTCATGTTTAAAATGAAATACTAGATTGAAAGAAAGTTGAACGTTTCCAGCATGTGAAAAGCCATGGTACGAAAGTTCGATTTTTTTTTTCCCCAACATTTTATTAAAGGCTTGATTCCCACCCCTTTACTGGGTCATCAAACGGCATATATGGAGTCAGCCCATGGACTAAAACCAAATAAAATTCACAGCCTCCGGCACACACAGACACACATTGTTCTTCGAACAAACATGCGCACGCTCTCACACATACACATGCATCCTCCACAAGCAACCTGTGATGCATCTTTTTTTTCCCCCACCACATTCTCCCTTCCTTTCCTGCAACAAACTGGCAACTTGACTTGTGTACATGGCAGCCTCAATAGACACTGACCCACTTCTGTTGAACAGCGCAGAAGAAGTGCCACAATGCCGTGTTCGGTCTGTGGAGACAGACAACAACAGGTGAAGAGACAGTTGAAATAAGTCGGCTTTTACAATATTTACATTTCTGAGCTGGGATGCAGTTGCGCCTTCCGAAACAAATGTGACAAAGGAATCCCAAGCAGAATATTTACATCAAACAGATAAGGTGTGGGAAGGGCCAGTGTCTACCAAGTGTTGTGAAGGGCGACCAGGCACAGCAACCGTAGCTTCTGATCCGAGAGCCTTCTGGCCCTTGCCGCAGCAACTGTTGCTTTCTTTTTCCCGAGGCCACACCATTTACTCCTCCTTAATCTTCTGCCTGACTCCTCCTAACAAAAAAGCAGCTCTGCTCGTCTCATGCCTACTCACATGTCATCTTTCTCCCATCATTTGGCAGCCTTTTTGACATGCGATACACTTCATGTTTGCGGTGCATCGTTTTCCTCCAGAATGTGTAGCCTGCATATTGACCACATAAACTCAAAGCAACGCGGACGCACAGCGGCCCTGTGTTTTCCAAGAGATTGAAGAGGAGAGGAGAGTGAGTTTTTAATGGTGGGGCGTTTGGAGAAATGTGGGGGTTGAGGGGGAGGGGGGTCTTGTGGGGGGACGGTGGAATCGTAGATCAGAGCAGTCATGATTGAGCCATCTGCTAAGAGGCCAATGACACACTTACACACACACACACACACACACACACACACACACGCACACACACACACACACACAGCTGTTTAAAGGTCACCAGTGCCACCTATTGGTCAGCACTTGTAACTCCTCCTGTTCCCGCTCTTGTCTGAATGTGGTGAAACGAAGCAAGATACCAGCAGTAGATGAGACGCGCAGCTGAAAGCATCGATCAGTCTAGTGTGGCTGTCTGCGCCATCTGGACACGACGCTTTTGGTTTCCCCACCGATTTTTAGTGAAATCCTGCGCTTCAGTGCAGTTAATAAGGCCGAAGCTTAGACCTACATCTGCTCGCTTCCTACACTGGCAGTTACATGTGCTTGGCCATTGAGTCATGCGAGGGACTGTGCTGATGCATTCTGATGTGTACAGATCTCCCTTTGCTCTCAGACGCCTACTGCTTCTCTTGCTAGTAGGTGAATATCCATTTCCAGTTCAGCTGTCAAGCTTCAAGACATTCATACAGTAAATGCTCCCCCCCTGTGAGCAAGCTATTCATCCTACTGGATATTAGCATATGGCTAAGTGGGGAAGGAAATGCTCTTTATATGCTAATAAGAAGATAATATATGCAGTAAGGACCAACCATTGTGAAGACTCAGGATGATGTGGCTAAAGATACCTGAACTCTCTCTGTACACATGTATGCAAGAAAATGGCTAAATGTATGCTGTGTTGTGTCACTTTTAGGTATCTCACTTGCCCGTATCGCTGTTTCGAAGGTACAAACTGCACATACGCATATTTATGTATGGGGATACACCGATGCCACTTCTATCAGACCGAATACGAATGCAAGCACTTTCATTTGAGTACTCAGACCATCTTGCGATTGTGATGAAAGTGTTTGAGATGAATCAAATATAGTTCACAACTTTTCTGAAACATGGCATAGGTGTCACGCCATTTTTTTTTTACACATGACAACGCTAACAGAAAATAAAAATCCCATATTACAAACCAAAATAAACAAAACAAAATGAATCGCAACAAAAGTAATTGTATACTCAACATTCCAATACAAATCTTACTTCCACAAGCTAATCATTGTAAATACTGGACAGAAAGAAATAAAGACATTGACCTTAATGTAGCTCACACAGCCATTATGTATGTCCGGTTGTGTAAACATGAATGGCAGATGCCGTGAACAGCAAGCCAATGTTAATTACTTGACAAACAGCGGAAAAGTTAACATGCCTTCAACACAATTTCTTCTGCACAACAACGCCTGCAAAATAAGCACTTGCATCTACAAAATGTCACAGATCAGTTTGGGCTCTCAAGAATTCATGTAAGCTGTTGTGAGCACATTTAATGATAAAATCCAAAATGTGAACAGAATATGAACAGATGATTACCAACATTAACGGTTTATCAGGATCAGAAGAGGTTCGTTGTCTAGGTACCACAGAGTGCAGCAAAATGGAACAGACACAAGCCTTCCAAGAGACACGTAAAAAACAATGACCAACAGGGGGGAGATGGAACTGGAGTCTGATGAGTCACCTTTTACTTCACCCCATTTCTACAGATGAGAAAAAAAAAATCTGGAATGGAAGGGCGGGGGGGGACAACTTCAGACTTAGCTCCTGTCAGTAGAGCACAATATCCATCCATTTTCCGATCAGCTTTATCGTCACAAGGGTCGTGGGGGGTGCTGGAGCCTATCCCAGCCGTCTACGGGCAGTAGGCGGGGGACACCCTGAACCGGTTGCCAGCCAATCGCAGGCAGAGAGCACAATATGACTTTGGATAAAAATGTCAGCATCAAAGGAACTCAACTCACCACACTGTATGTGAAGAGGGCGACAGGGCTCGCAAACATTTCGATGTTTGCCAATTGGCGGTCGACGGCCACTGCCACAATTGGCCTCTGTCACCCCCTGTTTGTTTTTTAACACGACTGACTGTTTTGCTCTCCATCAGACTGATGATTTCCACTGTCTCTTTAACGTCTGTCTTTCCAGGAGCAAGGTGTAGTGGGAATGTCCCGACCACCAGGCGCCATCCCACCTCCACACCCTGCCGGTGGCGTGGCCTCGGGGATGGGGCCTAACCAGGGGTCAGGCGCACCTCCAGGATATGTGGGTAACCAGCAGCAGGCAGCCATGATGAAACAGATGATGGCGATGGAGCAAGAGAAGAGGGTAAAGATGCACATGATGGAGCAGCAGAAGCAGCAGCTCTTCAGAGAGCAGAGGCAGCATCAGCAGCAGCTACTGGCGGAACAGGTGAGCATTTCATCAAGGCCCCTGTACAATTAGTGAAATGGTGTCATGATTTATTCGTATTTTGTGTGTTCATTGGGCGTCACGGTGGTCGACTGGTTAGCACGTCGGCCTCACATGGCGGAGGTGCAGGGTTCAATTCCAGCTCCGGCCTCCCTGTGTGGAGTTTGCATGTTCTCCCCGTACCTGCGTGGGTTTTCTCCGGGGACTCCGGTTTCCTCCCACGTTCCAAAAACATGCATGGCAGATTAATGGAACACTCGAAATTGTCCCCAGGTGTGAGTGTGAGTGTGAGCGCGGATGGTTGTTTTGTCTATGTGTGCCCTGCGATTGACTGGCAACCAGTTTAGGGTGTCCCCCGCCTACTGCCCGAAGACAGCTGGGATAGGCTCCAGCATGACCCGCCACCCTCGTGAGGAAAAGCGGATTAGAAAATGAATGGATGGATGGATGTTTTGTTCATTCGTACATCGCGTATTTTTGTCCACGAATAAGAGCAACTCATCCCCCTGATGTTCCCTGCTGGTTTCTGGTTGTAGATCTAATTACCCTCTTCACCACTTGCCTTTCATCTCTCCAGCATGTGTGCACGCGTATGTTCATGTTACTGGCCACATCCCACCTGCTGTGATAATGTGCTGTTTTCTTTTTACTTCTCTCTCTCTCTCTGAGAGTGAATCAAGTGTTAAACAGTCTTGGACTCTGAAGTCACCACCCACCATGTTGGTTTTCAATTGGATCTGCATAAACATACACAGATGTACTTAAATTGCGGTCTGGAAGGAACACCCCGCTGAGGTTTTGTGTCTCTTCTGAATTACAGTAGTTCTCACAGCCCACACAAAAGGACCGGGCTGCAACTTCTGCTTTCTTAGCCATGCACTCATCAATCAGACAAAATCTAGCTGTAACAAACATCTCAAGAATTCCGAGTGCCACGTTCTGTTTTCATGCCTATATTTAAAATTCTCTATTCACACGTGCACATGAAACAACTCCAAATGCACAAAGGGCGCACACTGCAGCTAACTCCACAAGTGTCAACATTTTGATGAGATTTCAGAAAGTCTTGACATATACTGTACCACAACTGCTTTTAATCAGCTCTGCTAATTTGTCTTTTGATTTATATTTGTATAATGTTGTATGACACTTGTGTGTGTACGTGTGTGTGTGTTTGCGTAGCTCCAACAGCAACATCTCCCAAGACAGATGGGCCAAGGCCAGAGGAATCCCTTCCCTCAAGTCAGTCAATATCAAGGTAAATAACCAACATGAGCATGTTTACGTGTATTTAACGACACACATAATGCCACACCCCCTCCCTATTTACAAACATACGTAATTAATTTTAGTATCAATCCTGTTTTTATGTAATATTTCCCTTATTTATTTTTAGATTGTATTTTCTTTATTGTCTCTACAGTGTCCTTGGGTGGCATGAAATGCGCTTTTAAATAAAATGTATTATTATTATGATCAATGAAAAACATAGAGGGTACAATATGCTTCAATTTCTGAATATCACAGTGAATCCAAACCTCGTCCCCTCTATCTGTTTCTGTCAAATATACCCTTCGGCATTCAGATTGGATTCTTTTGCCTCTCTTTTTGTGTGTGTGTGTGTGTGTGTGTGTGTGTGTGTGTGTGTGTGTGTGTGTGTGTGTGTGTGTGTGTGTGTGTGCGTGCGTGCGTGCGTCTTTTTTTTTTTTTAAGAGAGATTTCTCCTGCTCTGCCTGTTACCAAGGCAACTTGTGTGTCCTGGATCCCCCAGAGTTCCGGTGAAGTCAGAGAGATGGATGAGAGGAGTGAAGTGGGAGAGAGGATTGGGGGGGGTGGCAGCAAGAAGAATAGGTAGATGATCTGGAACGTGGAGAGGCTGGCATGAACGACAGAAAGTGACAGAGAGTGGGTGTGACCATGAAGATGAAGACGATTCGGTGAGGGAGGTGGAAATTCAAGTTGAAAGGCTTTTGTAGCCATCAGAGACTCTCGAACTGAGAGTCCAAAAGCTATCCAGGAGGACACGAGGGCCTGTGTTGTTTTCTTGCTATTTATCTTCAGAGCTCCGTAAAAACAGTCAGTCTCTCTTGACTATCCTAAAATTGCAATCATCCTCACTTTTAGTATGTCTGCAATTGTTAGTGACTCTAAGTCTACTCACTGCACAAATCCTGTGTGTGGAGTATGACCCTCTTTGTTCTCGAGCTGTTACTGTTGCACGCCAAGCTGTGAGGTGAGGGATTAGTGGAATGATGTCAGAAGTGGGTTTATTACAGGATTTAGAGCAATTGCCATCCTACAAGACCTTGACAGTTATGGCACCACTGAGCATCTTTTTGAAAGGAACGTGTTACTAAGTCCAACACTTTTAAGCACGGTAGGATTTGAATTGAATTTGGAGTGTTTTTAAGAAGAAATATCTTGATCTGGAACAACGTACTTTTTGATCATTATGGTGGGTAAAACACAAATTTAAAACAAGAGCCTTATTCTCGAGAGAAATTATTCATTTATGTAATATCTGCCTGTGTATGTTGAGGGAATGTTTGTTTTAATTGGTTCGGAATCCAACCACAATGTTTTCAACTGGTTCAAATCTCAGCTGATATTCACTCGTTTGCAGTTTTTAGTTCTGATGTTTCACTTTACTGTTTTCAGTTGATCTGTCCACCGTATTGACCTTCTACAAAATGTGACTGCCTGGTGGAATTTACGTTGTGTGTCAAGTGTTGACTGCTGTCATTGACTTGATTTCAGGTCCTCCTCAAGATCTGGCATCCAGGAGTCAAGCTCTCCAGAGCATCCGGGCCGCACGTCTTCTCCAACAGCAGCAGCAGAACCAGCAGCAGATGGTCCAGATGAGCTCTGGCCAAGGCCAGGGGAGCTCAGTAGGACCGCAAGCTGACATGGGCCTACCTTACAGCACCCAAGGGTCTAACCAGGGTTCCCTCTATGGGCTCAACCCCTCCATGAGCCAAATGATCCACCAGCAACAGCACCAGAGCCAAAGTGTGCAAGCCTCCCTCGGTCTTCCGCAGCAGCACAACCCAGTTGGCGGGCAAAACCGGCAGGCGGGGGCAGGTCCCGGAGTTGGAGGTATGCCTGGGGGACCCGGAGCCGGCGGTGCTGGAGGCTACGGCGGACAAGGGATCTTAATGAACCCCATGGCCCAGCAACCCCTCAAGGGCCCAACTAATGCCAAAGCCCAAGCACAAAGACTGCAAAGTATGCTGGGAGCAGGAGGCGGTGGCGGGCCCATGGCCGGGGCAGGCTGGCCGCAGCAACAAGGACAGAGTCTGCAAGGCATGGGGGCTGGCGTGGTAAGGACAGCGGGAGCAGGAGCTGACAGGGTGGGGTTCAGCTCGGCTCAGGGCTATGGAATGCAGCCAGGTCAGCCCCAACGCGTGGCCAAGCAACACTTTCAGGGGCCGGGCCAGGGTATGACGCAGGGGATGGACCCCAGGGTGGGCAACCCGGCAGCGGGTATGGGTGGCCCGATGGGCGCTCACATGGGCGGTCAGCCCAGGACCAACCAGTCTCGGCCCATGGTCATGAGCCAGGGCTTAAACCAGGGCGTTATGGGTCCGGGGGTCGCTGGAATGGGGGGTTTCGGGCCGGGCCCTGGGGCGCCAGCCTTAGGGGCCGGTGGGGCAGCTGGACCTTATGGACCCGGGGGGGCTGGCGTTGGTAGTCAGACGCAGGGCTACCAAAGGACAGCCAATCAAGATATGTCATCCTATGGATATGGGGGCGGGCCCTCCAGTGGAGGAGCCTTCGGATTGGGGGATGGACCAGGAGCAGAGCTGGACTCAAGTGACGGGTGGATGGAGGAGTTTTTCCCCAGCCAATAGCCTGAAAGAAAACTGGACATGAGTTTTGACTGGATGAACTCAACATTTCAAGACACAAATGGAGTCTAATGTTAACTGGCGTCTGTCTAGATCCTCAGTCATCCAGGCCGTGCTAAGCCGCGGAAGGGCAATTGTGGCAACTTTGACTCGTCTTGCTTGTCCGACATTCATTTTCCAAAAGCATTTTTCTGTTCGGAATCTGAGGTGCAGAACTTTCCATATTGACGTCTGGTAGGTGCGTCCCTTGGATGTTGTCACATACGCAGGATTGATTGCCAGGTGTGGCTGTTGAATGACTGTTTTGCATTACGACAGGTCATTCGCGTGCACGCAGTTGAATGGCTTGTTGGTCACTGGAGCCGGTGTGTGAGACGAGCTTTGGGTGAGAAATGCTCTGACTTGTTCAGCCGATGACTTTCTGTTTTGACATACCGAACGTGGCTTTCTTCAACATTTCTGACACAAGAGTCCTTTACTTTGAACTGCAGACTCTGGACCCTCAGAAGCTGCCCTCCAAAGCCGTGCCGCGTTTGTGTAGCGCTTCCTCGGTCACAGCACTCTTCACTACACTGCACCACATAAAATTGTCAACGACAGCACCATATATGGGCACTCTGCACCTAAGGTTTAGAACGGAGGCATCCTTTTGAATTCAAGGTGAAAGCCTCTTCCACAACCAAGAAGAAGCCAGACGCTTCGATTCAACTTGTGCGGAATGTCAACAGGTGGGCGGCATGTTTGTTCGGCGAGGTCACAAATTCAGACTTCATGTGTTCCGCGTGCGTATGAGCACTGAGAAATCATATTGTCTCGTGCATATTCATGAAAACCCATATAGAGATTAAGAAATGTGTTTTTGCGAGATTCCTTCAAGAATTCTTTCCCAGTGTTTTTAACGCCAGACCCGCTTTCGAGACGCAGCTTCAAGCAGGGCTTGATTGAACACAGCAGACTGATGAAGGGGGAGAAAAAGTTGCCCTCAAGACAGCAGTTGATTTGTGTTTGTGCCACGCAGCTCAGGGCTTCACCTCTCTTTACTGTGTAAGGAGCTGAAAGGGAGTCGAAAGTACTCTCACTTCTCCCATTTCCTGTCTTTGAAATGTGCCCCCCACCCATACACACTCCAACACACAAATAATTCTCCCTCCACCTCACGCTCACTCTTTCCATTTGATCTATTTCGCTCACCCCCCCCCCACCCCATCTTTGCCACCCTTCCTCCAGAGAATGATTCCACGATTTCACTACTCCTTTCGCTGTTGAAATTGTGAGCGTCTCGGCCCTCGCCCGCTTTTTGCTAGGCAACTGGCTTTTTTTTTTTTTTTCATGGGAGGGAGGGGGTGAGGTCTTGTCTCTATGTGTGTCTGGGGATGACGAACGTGCATCTACAGTAGAGGAACACGCAGAACGAAGCAAAAAATAGGGAGCTCAAGCGAGCACACCCACTTTGACTTGTATAAATTGCAGACACATCAACAGACAACGGGTAATATGGGACGACACGTGAGAGTACGATGACGTGAAGCCCTCTGCCTTCGTGGCACAAAGCACATCACATTCGTCAGGCGGACTGAAGGCGAAATGACCACTGGGCGCTGAATGTATCCAAGCACCACAAGTGACTTCTTTTATTTTAAAAAAAAAAAAAAAAAAAAAGGAAAAATAATCTCATTTAGGCCCCTCTTGTTTTCTTAGTTGCTGTATTTGACCTCTCAGAATTACGCTGGTTGTGTCTTTTGTCTATCCCCCCGTCCCCCTCCCAAAAAAAAAAAAAACCCAACCAAATTTAATTTGGCCTTATTTAATTTTCGTTGTCTTTTTACAAATCTTTTTGTAACTCCCGTCCTAGCGCAGCCTTCTCTTCCGTGGCGTCACATTCGCTTGCTACCTCGTTGGCTTTTCTTCAGTAGCGCGGTAATGAAACAAATGCTCCAACTTAAACCCAATGGAGTTCGAACAGTAGACCGACTGTGAAGAAATACACCCTGTCCCTCCTCTCTGGCACTTTCCTAGGAAAACTAACCACTGCTAAGACTTTCGGATTTATTCACTAGACTCGTTTGGCCAAAGTGTAAAAGCCGTCATACAGTTTATAGGCTTAACAGGTTTCCATCTCTGTAAGGGTTTGAAAATGAATAATCTAACGTGAATGCGTGTCTACTTTTAGGCATAGCACCTCCCCCTTCCAAAATTGCGTCATTTGTGACACTGTGTCATCAGCTCATCAGCGTGAACGTTTGGAGGTTGACGCCGTAGTGAACAAACCAAAAAGCCTTTTGTTTTCCCTGTAAAGCAACTCCATGCCATCAATGCGTTTCTTTTGGAATTGTATACTGTAATCCAACCCTTTAAAAAGAAACATAAGCACCATCAAACTTGAAAAGCTTCTTTTTTCTCTTTTTTTTTTTATTTTATTTTTATTTTTTTTTTAAGCTCCGGCAAATGAGGTTGCTTTATTTGTATTATTTGTGGGGAGTTGAAGTCCTCCATTTGTCTGCACAATGTTTGACAATTGTTTTATTTTGTAGCAGTTTTACAATGACATTAAAACAAAGCCTTTATTTTAAGCCTTTCTTGTGAAAAGTAGTCAAACTCCAATGTTGGTGTCCAAAACTTCGCCGAGAACTCCAAGTAGGCTCCAGTGACAAATGAAACAAACACGGTCAGAGCAGCCAAAGTAGGTTTGGAGTTTGTGAGGTGGTGAAAACGCTTCTGCGTCAGTGTTAGGGTTAGTCTTGTCTTCTTTCAAGTGAACGTTCATCCTGACAATTTTTTTTTTTTCAATCTTTTCAGGAAGACAAACTTCCTGCAACTATCATTGTGTTCTGGGACCAAGTCTGTTGACATTTTAACAAAACAAACAAAAAAATCTATTGTTAATGTTTCTTGTTTTATGTTTTTTTTTTTTTTTTTTTACTGGTGCTGACATACAGCATGTGATTATTTTATATATATTTAAATACACCAGATAATACAGCAGTCTCTACTCTGTAAAAAATTATTTGTTTGTTGGGAAAAATAGAGAAGTATTTTATTTAGATTTTTTTTTTTTTTACATCTTTAACCCATCTGAGCTATGCCATTGCACTTCAGACAATGTCTTACTACTAATTTCTACGGTAAAACTCCTTTTCTTTTGTTTATCTAGTTTGAGAGTTGACTGTTCGAAAGCAGTGCTTATTTCTTTTTATCCTGTACAGAGCTCTGAAACTGTAACAAAAGAGAATTACAAAAACTTGTTATGTTTTTCAAACATAAACAATAAAGAGAATGTTCTCGCTGATCCTAATCTGTGTTTTGTTGTTCATTTCTGAGTCTGTAACGTCAGTACTGCTTGAGATTCTCATGAAGTTGCATCCGGTTGAAAGAGAAATATGTGATCCGTTTGTAAATGCATACCTGTTTCAATTGGTCATAAAACGTGATCTGATCATCTCACAGCAATAAACAAGCAAGTCTGCTTGAACTAACATCACAGAAACGATGAAATGTTTTCTTTGGGCGCACCATGGAAACATTTACAGTACATGGTGGCAAATGGAGAAGTCTTCTTTTTTGCAGTTTCCCCCACATGTACGGTAAATATCACGCAAAGTTAACATTTTTAATGGTGATTCATAAAAAGTACTTGCCCCTCAACTTAATAATTGGCCATTGGACTTGCAAAATATTTGTATCCACTTGACCGAGTCCAACAATGTTTTTATTCCTCAAAATGAACGTTCTCCTTCAAAAGACAAACATGAAATAATGTTTTTTCAGACAGTCAGAATAAAATCCAATAATATCCAAAATTTGATTGGATAACCTGACCGCGAGGGGAATTGGGGACAGCAAACCCTGCCGCAGTGTTCAAGTTCATGTTCGGCTGTTTTTGTTGTTGCCTCTCACTGCTCGGTGCACTTTGCTGCTCCCCGGTGCCCGATCTTCTCTTCGTCGACCACCATGAATAAACCCACGTTGCAATTGTTTTTGATGTTTACACACAAGGTTAATAAATCAAACACAAAGTGTTGAGAAAAATGATGATTATTTTCACAACCACAAAATGAGGTAAATTTCATTTACTGTACTCGTTTCTTTTATATCTGAAGGTTTCCTCATGACCTCACTCTGACCTTTGTGACTCGGAGTTGACTTCGACTACATAAAGCTGGACTTAATGACAGTCCAGGATTCAAATCTGGTCTCCGACCAGGCCACTCCAGCCGCCCTTTTTTTAAGCCCTTCAGAAGTTGATTTGGTGATGTGTTTTATATGTTGCAGAACCCAAATCCACTTCAGTGTGTGTTCAACAAATTGATGACCAAACATTCTTCCTCAGGGTTCCATGAATCACAGGAAGTCATCCAGGTCCTGAAGGAGGTGGCCCACACCATCACTCTCCCACCACCATGTTTGACTGTTGGTGTGATGTTATTTTTCTGAAATGCTTGTGCTACATTTTAGCGAGATTTAACGAGAGACGCACCTTTCCCCCAAAAAAATATTCAGGGGCCCCACTGCATGCCCCTGCATCTATATTCAACCATCCAGACAATTTGATTGACCCCCAGATAAAATTAAGTGGGCAAGTGGCTTGTCGTATGAAGTGTATAATACTTCTCAATGCCAATTCAGCCAGAAACACACTGCAACTTGGCAAACTAGGGATGGAAATTGAGATCTTTATTCAAGATGTTAGAGTTGTGATGCATCCAATTTTAGAAGCAGTATTTGTACTTACTGGACTTCAAATACAGGTTATTGTATAACAGTCCACAGACTTTGATTTGTGGATTGTTGTCTTTAAAAAAATTTTTTGCAAATGTAAAAAGGTTTTAGTGGAGTAAAAACTCAACTATTTTTTTGGTTTTAAAATTAGTTCGTATTACTTAAGAAATACACCATATTTTAAAACGAAGCCTTTTAGTCAAGTTAAAACTAACAGACGCTCTCTGAAAATGAATTAAAACTAATTAGAATTTTAAAACACACACACACACACACACACACACACACAAAATGAAACAAAAACCAACTAAAATGAAAAATCAGAAACTATTACCAACCTGGATGGACCGTGTCCAAATTATCTTGGGGTGTTTTTGTAAGCATTCGATCCGGATACATCACCCTTTTTCTTAGCCACCAAATACTACAATGGATATTGAATTCAGTGTCTGACTAGAGATTTGGTATGGACATCCTATTGTAGTACAAAAATTCCCCCAGAACAACCAACTGAAAGAGGCTGTATGGAAATCCAGGATAACCATCACAAAAAGTGCATGCATACATTTGATAATGTCACATGCTTGATGCAACGACTGCAATTTGCAAGCAGAGGATTTTCAGATTTCTCATTCTTTGCTACAGCTGGACTGGATACATGACTTAGAGCCTGAAATCCATTCAAGTAAGACTAAATACCTGAAACTCAAAGCAGGACTGTTGGCCTTTTGTTTCTTTTGTAACACTCAATTGAGAAGCACTGCAGTAGAGTGAAACCATTTATTTTCTGTCATGCCCCCCCATGAAGAAGAAAACATCTCGCGCCCCCCGCGCAACTATAAAAAGTCTAATTTGTCTCTAAAATTGTTATACACCGCTGCATAACACTGTATCCTTATTAATGTATAAGAGAATAAAAAAAGAAAGCCTGTTGAGTAGAGTCTACTCCAAAGTAAAGGAATGGACCTAACGATTCTGAAATTTGGGGAGGAACGTGTACAGTAGATGCATTCATGACATTTGGTCAGATGCACGGGTGGGTTCCAGATATCCATCAAGTGTAAGTCATTGGGATTGCAACAACTTGTCCATTCATGAACCTATACTTAAATTTACATTTGAGGGAAAATGCACTCATCATGTTATTTTGTCTGTTTCAATTTGTCTGGTTGGTTATGGTTACGAATTATTATCTGGGTGATGAAAAGGGTAAACTACAATGGCACTGGATTGAGACCTTTGCCAAGGCCATCCATCCACCCACCCTTTCTCTCTACTACTTGTCCTGATTAGGGTCACAGGTGAGCTGCAGCCAATCACAGCTGACTTTGGTCCAACGGCCGGATACACTCTGGACTGGTTTGCCAGTCCACCAGAGAGCTCTCATCGATGCTTTTGAAATGTGGAGAGAAGGCGAAGTCTAGGCGACCTTTTGTCGATCAGTGTTAAAAGTGATTATGAATGGTTCGTTTGTCTAAGTGTAGTATCTGCCAAAATGCCACGCAAGCACGGTCAGAACATGCAAACTCGGCGCAGGGAGGCAGAAGCCGAGATTCAAACCTCGAACCTCCGAAATGTAAGGCTAGTGCTAACCAATGGGCCGGCGTGCTTCTCTGCCGAAGTCACACAATTCCAAATTTCAGCACCGATTGTGTTTTTCCCCAGATCAGTAACAGCATACGGTACTTGGATTTGACATTTAAGAGCCAAGCCTTAATCATTCTGTCTGTCAGTCATAGCAACAATGAAGCCGTGACCTTGTTGTTAGTATTTGACAGACCGCATGCAGGTCCGGAATCTTGCTGTTGTGATCCATCTTTTCCAAACTCACCTCTCTTTGCTCGCCATGTCAGCCGCCTCACCTCTTCACCGCGGCCACCTTCCACTACCTTCCCTCCTCAAATCACTGCTCCATCTCTCTTTTCCTCACACATTCGCTTTTTCTTTTTCCCGTGCGTGCTGGCGTATCCGCCATACACTCCCCGGTCTCCCATCTGACGTTGATAAATGGAGACCTGCAGTGGTGACAACAACATTACTCATGCTCAATAGCGACACCATCTTGGACAGAGAAAAACGAGATGAGGAGGGATGCTGAAGGACAGCAGTGAGAGGGTAGTTGGGGGTTGGGGTTTGCCGACAGAGGTGTTTATTGCATTCCCACACCCAAAGCACACTTTAAAATCTACAGACAATCGAGAGGTGGTTTTTTTTCTTTTTTAAATTAGCAGCAGTAATAAAGTGATAAAAATTTTCAACTCATCAATTAGACACACAAATCCAATGAGGTCAGCAGAAGTCCTACAAACAAAAAAACCTCACAATTACACCTAAAGGCAATTTAAAATGATCAATTAATCTGCCATGTATGTTTTTGAGATGTGGGGGGATAAAATTCAGGCAGGCATGGGGAAAACATGCAAACTCCACACAGGAAGGTCAGGGACAGAATCGGACCCCAGACTTCTGTAATGTGAGGTCGATGTTCTAACCAGTTGGCCATCATGGTAACTCATAATAAAGAAAAATAATTACCGTTCCAGAATTAACTCAACCATCCATTTTTTTTAATCCTAATGTGGTCTACGTTACTGAATGAACTTTGAGGATATTAGGAGTGGCTTCAGTAGGAAATATTTTAAGATTCAACTGCTCTGCCTGCACCAGTTGAATTTATGGACTTGTTCCTGGTGTCTCCCATGTTAATCCCCATTCAAACACACATTAGTTTACATCAGGGGTGTCAAACTCCGGTCCTGGAGGGCCGGTGTCCTGCATGTTTTCCAAGTCTCCCTGTTGCAACACACCTGATTCAAATGAACAGGTTCAATGTCAGGCTTGCGCAGAGCTTGCTGATGATCTGATCATTTGAATCAGGTGTGTTGCAACAGGGAGACTTGGAAAACATGCAGGACAGCGACCCTCCAGGCTCTGAGTTTGACACCTATGATTTAGGGTGTTCAATCAGCCTGCCATTCATGTTTTTGGAACGTGGGACGAAACCGGAGTACCCGGAGAAAACCCACGCAGGCACTGGGAGAACATGCCTCTCTCTCTCTCTCTCTCTCTCTCTCTCTCTCTCTCTCTCTCTCCTCTGATCCGCTTATCCTCACAAGGGTCGCAGGGGTACTGGAGCCTA